TAGAGCTCCAGATGGACCCTCATAGCCTACAGAGGGACCCCGAGAGCCCCATACAGCCCAAGGTGTTTCCCGAATGCCCCGAGACAATTTTCACAGGCCCCAAGATGGCCCCAGAGAGCCCGAAGAGGGCCCAGAAAGGTTCTCGAGGAGGGTGCCAAAACGTGTCCACAATCCTGCGTTTCGCGCCAAGCGCCTGAGGGGCGCCGCCCTCAGCTACAACGCTGGGATCAGCGCGTGCGAGAAGGGCGAACAGTGGCAGCGGGCTCTGGCGCTGCTCAGCGTGTTGTGGCAGGCGCAGCTGGAGGCCGACGTCATCATCTTAGCAATTCTGGGACCCCTTCGTGCGGGAACGGCCCTTGTCTTGAGCATTTTCTTACACAACTTCCAGAGGCCCCTGGAGGCTCCCAGGCAGCTCAAACGACTCCATCCTGCCTGTACCGGGGGGCGAGAATTTTGGATTGGTTTTTGCGTTGTTGGTCGAAGCCCATTCCTCTAGCGAGCCCGTCCCGCCCGCCCGCCAGCGAACCCGCCAACCAGCCAACCTGCCAGAGCCCGCCGCCTGCCCTCCGTCACCACTCAGGGGGGGGAAAGGGGAGAAAGTGTTGGCTACAAACCCGAATCGGGGAAAACGTAAGACTCGAGTGCGCCGGACCTCGGGCTTGCCGACGCTTTTTGACGAGAGCGTCCTGGAGTTTGACGGTCCAGTTTTGGTGGGATGTTTGCAGCGGGAGCTGGAGTCAAATTTCAGACTGGGCCTCGTCATTTGCATGATGGCCCGGTGAGGCCAACCCGAGTCCCCCGAACCTGAATACCCCTAACCGAAAAATGCACGGGGAATGGACGTCCGAGCGATGGCAAGGTGTTGGTCGCAAGCCAAAAGGGGCGGGCCTTCTCAGAAGGCTCCGAAGTCTCCCGGCCTTCTGAGAAGTTTCCTAAGCCTTCCGCGAAGACACGGAGAACCTTTCAGAAGGCGCGAGGGCTTCTGAGAAGCCCCGCCGCCTTTGAGAAGGCCTCCTCGCTTGCTTTCCCCCCTCGCTCGCCGCCGACACTCAGGGGAAGGGGGTGAACCCTCCGCGGGCCCTGCGGGGCAGCCCGGGAGGGTCAAACCTCGCACGACAGCTCGAGAGGTCGCTCCCCACAGGTGTGTGCTGTCTGGATCGTCGGGGCCTACGCGTGCGATGCAGCCGCCGTTATTGTCCACGCTTCCCCGCGCCCACGCGCTCGACGGTACTTAAGGCTCCCATGCTAGGCCCGGTTCGACCAAAGAACAAACGACACCGCCCCACCTACGGCCCTCCATGTTGCGCCACGGCCCATCGGGGGCCGTAGCGTACACCACGCAAAAGCCCGCGCCAGATTTTTCTTGGTATACGCGAAGCCCCGAGGGATCGCAGGTGGGGTGGTGTCGCTTGTTTTCTGGTCCACCTGGCTCGACCCTTCAAGGGAGGAAAAAACACCCCGACCCCGAGAATTGGCATTTACTCCACGGCCCCCAGAGTTCTGGACCCGTCCCAAGGCCCGGTGAGGGCCCCCAGGGGCCGAGCGGCCGAAAATAGAGTAAAACCTCCTGTCGCGATTTTGGTTCACAACGCGAGGGGCTCTGGGTATGAGAGTCGTTCTTCTTGCCCTCCGACTTTACGACGACGACGACGACGAAGACGAAGACGACGACGTCGGGCCCCCAGTGTGGCGTCGCAGAGGGCCCGGCGGGACGGTCGCGGGGAAGTCCAAAGTCCAAAGGGCATCGCAGAGGCCCAAGGAGGCCTCCAGGAGGCGCCCAGGAGGAGGAGGAGGAGGTTTGGAGGAGGAGGAGGAGGAGGAGGAGGAGGAGGAGGAGGAGGAGCCCCGAGAGTGCCCCAAAAGCTCCCAAGAGTCCTCCTCCTCCTCCTCCTCCTCATCCTCTCCCTTCTCCTCCTTTTTCCTCCCTCGTCCTCTTGCTGCGAAGTCCAGAGGCACCGGAGAGGCCCAAGGAGGCCCTCAGAGGCCTCCAAGCCCAGAGATCCGACGCTCCAGCAAAAATCGGAACGGGCGGTGTCTGACTGTTTTCGGCCTGCAGGGGCCCTCGCCGGGCCTCGGGGCCGTCAGAAAACGACCCGGGACGACAAACCGGCCCTAGAGAAGTGGTCCGGACCTCCGGGGCCCACGCATCGAAAAAATTGGAGCAGCCAGATGTCCGTGAGAGGCCCCCAGGCGGCGCCCAGGAGGCCCCGAAAGTGCCCCAAAGGCTCTCAAGAGTCCTCCTCCATCTCCTTGTTCCTCCCTCGTCCTCTTCCTCTTCCTCCCACAGAGGGCTTCTCAGAAAGGCCAGACGGCTTCTCAGAAGCCTTGCCGCCTTCTACCGCTGTCCCCCCGAGGTGCGCCGCCGAGTACATGACGTTGGCGCAGAAAGGCTCGCATATTTGAAGCTGTGGTCATCTTTCAGCCCACTGGTGTCCACACAGTGGACGGCCAGGAGGCCGACTGAAGGCATCTGCCCCAGCCATAGCTCGACCAGTCCTCCCGCCAACCAGCCAACCCGCCTACGGCAAGTTCGCGTCTTGTCGACGGCAACCCCGCCGCGGGCGCTCAAGGTTGAACGCCGCATGTGGCCCAGAACCGGCCAACCTGGCACGATCTAGCGATCGAAGGGCCGCCGATCTTTCAAGGTTGAACGCTCTAGGCGGTGTCAGAAACCGGCGCGCCGGCCGCCACGACACGGACCCGACGTAACATGTAACCCCGCCGCACGCCTCCCTCAAAGGAACGTTTCCAGACTGGCTCCGCGCGCTCTGGACGGCACAGGACGCTCCGAGAGGGCCCCAGTCGTTGCTCCGAGAAGGGCCCCTGATGCTCCCAGGATTGCCCCGCCTGGCCTCCAAGACAGCCCCGAGACGGCTACACGATGGCCCAAGGCGGGCCCTGCGTTGTCCCAAAAGCCCTCCCGACAGCCCCCACCTCGAGAGGGCCACACTCAGGCCCTAAGCAGGACCCAAGCCCCGAGAGGCCCTCAGGAGCCCGAGCTGCGCAGAGTCCCAGTACTCTGTCGAGAGTCCCTGAGCATGTGAAACCAACAGGATGAGCCGAACACCCCCGAGTCTGTGAGACCACTAGCTCTCACTAAACATGCAATGTCAGCTCGCTCGGCTACTAACTCTGCTAAGCTGTGTGGATTTCGAATCTACCAGTCCGCACCAGAAACTATGATGAACACAGACTGCGCCGTGAAAAACAGCTTCTGCCCACCATGTCATGCCTACATGGGTGTGCTCTCATTGGCACCGCCTTCCTGCCTTCAGACCTGCTTGCCTGCATCCCTCGCTCACCTCCCCCTCCAGCGGCCACCTCCTCCATCCATGCCGTCCCCTCCAACCTCCCCTCACCTGCGAGGCCCCGGAGACGCTCCACTTCCACGTCCGCGCCATGGCGGGCAGATTCCGCGGCCGGAAGGCCGCGGGTCAGCCCTAGTCTCTACTACATTGCAGGGCCCAGTGCGTGCCAGAAGGGCGCAGGCTCCAATGAGTCAAAACCGCCCCGGGCTGGCCCCGGGCCGCTCCGGGCCGCCCAGGCAGGCTCCAGGACATGTCGAGAGGGCCCCCAGAAGCCCCCAAGACGGCCCCGGAGAGCCCCGGCACGCTCAAAGATGGGCCCAAGACGCCCGAGATTCGCCCCAGACGGCCCAAGAGGCGTCCAAGACGCCCGAAGAGGCCTCCCAAGAGGCCTCCCAAGAGGGCCCCGAGCGACAGACATCGTCGATTTCTATTGTGTTTTTCGATGTTTTCGGCCTCCTCGCCTCTTCGGCTTCCCGACGCTCCAAGACGGCCCAAGAAGTCCCCCCGACTGCTCCAAGACGGCCGAAGAGGACCCCAAGGGAGCCCCAAGACGGGCCAGGAGGGCCCCAAGACGGTCCCAAGACGCCCCAGGACGGCCCCAGGACGGCCCAGGAGGCGCCCAAGACGGCCCAAGAGGCACCCAAGACGGCCCCAGGAGCGGCCCAAGACGGCCCAAGACAGCCCAAGAGGCGCCGAGGCGGGCCTCAGACGGCCCCAAGACGGCCCAAGAGGCACCCAAGACGGCCCGAGAGGGCCCTAAGAGCCCCCCAGGGAGGCCCAGAAGAAGGCCGAAGAGGCTCCGAAACGGCCCCCACGAAGCCTTCAGTGGCTTCAGCCTCCAGGAGCGGGGGAGCGGACGAGAGGCGACAGGCCAGCTACCGCCCCCCTTTGCCCGATATGCTGTGCCATTATGTTCCCCCAGGGGCCTTGGCGAACTCTTCGGGCCAAGCAGACCGGGCCCCTGGGACAGCAGCCAATTGATATGACCCTGGGACCTCTCCGCATTCTTCGGACGAGCACCTGGGGGGCCCAGGAGATTCGGACAAGTCTTCCCCATTCCTTGCCCTGTCCCGTTCTGTTCGCCCGAAGGCCTCCACAGACCCTCTGGGCGAACAGAACGGGACATGGCGAACAAACCCTCCGGTTGGCGGTGATGCGACTGGATCGCACCATCAAGGCGCGCCCGGAGGTGATGGCCGACCCAACAGCGGTTTCTCTTAAGAGTTCACTGGATTTCAAATTTTCTTGAAGCTCTCTTGGGCCCTCCCTGTAGATCCTTGCGAGCCTCCCCGGCGCTTTCGGTGGCTTTCCCCGATGGCCTCCCGAGCCCTTCCCCGAGCGCTCCTGAGACGCCTCAGATGGGCTTCGACTTCGACGCACATCCCCGAGAGACTTCGAAACTGTCCTCAATAGGAGGGGGGTGAACGAGCAGTGCGCTGGGCCAAGCTGCTGCAGCGCTGCAAGAGCTTGGACACGAAGGCGCGGTCTCGCTGCCGCCGCCCGAGCCGCCGCCGTGTTTGTAGATTTTCGGTACAATCTGCGCCGTTCCTCCGAGAACCATTCCAGAAAGATGTCGTGGACGGAGTCCACGGGTCAGCCCTAGTCAGCTACAATGCTGGGATCAGCGCGTGCGAAAAAGGCGGACAGTGGCACCATGCGTTGTCGCTGCTCAGCAAGATAGGAGATACGAGAATGGTGCCAGATGTCATCAGCTGCAGTGCTGGCATCAGCGCGTGCGAGAAAGGCGGGCAGTGGCAACTAGCACTATCTTTGCTGAGAGAGATGTTTGGTGCGAAGGTGTGGCCCAACATCACCAGCTACAGTGCTGGGATCAGCGCGTGCGAGAAATGTGGGCAATGGCAGTTTGCGTTGATACTGCTCAGCGAGATGTGGCATACAAAGGTGAAGCCAGACGCCATCATCTATAATGCTGGGATGAGCGCGTGCGAGAAAGGGAAGAATTGGCAGCAGGCGCTGCTGTTGCTTACCGAGATGTCGGACGCGAAGATCGAGTCGAACGTCACCATCATCACTACAGTGCCGTCTTTAGTGCGATTCCAGGCCGAGCTCGTGCGCGAAACGCTTCGGCGCAGCAGCGTCCCCCAGTGCCCCAGATGGCTCCAAGAAGCTCGACGGCGCGCTCCAGACGGCCCCTACACAGCCCTTGGACGCCAGAACAGGCCTCATGCGGTCCCTAGACGGGCACGGAAAACTTCTGTGTAACGCCCTTCGTGCCTTCTGGGTTCCCCTGGGTCTTCCCAAGCTTGCCGTCGGTCAGTTTCTGGCGCCTCCGAGGTCCCCGGGAGCTAGCTCTCCAAGAGGCTTACGTTGCCTCCCCCCTCCCCCCCTCCCTGTCATCTTGTTGTGCAGTGTTTTGTGGCTCTGAATGGGCCCGAAGCCAGCTCTGATCTCTCCATCAGCGGCCGAATATGAGCCCCAGACAGCCCAAATCGCCACGAGTCCGACCCCGAGATGGCCCGAGACGGCCTTCCAAGAGCCTCCCGGCCCGTCCCCCCCGTCCCGCAGGCCAATCCCAAGGAGGCTTCCCCCCAGTCTGGCAGGCCCCCACCTCGACGAGTATTGGGAACAATTCCGACGTGAGAGGCGGTGCTCTAAGTGGTTCCCGGCTCGTTTCGTCTCGGCGCGTTCCCCTCGATGCACTCCGCTCGATCTGTGGTTTCCCATTCGAACTAAAATCTCAAGTCGTCACGGGAGGTGTGGAATATGATGATTCCCATGCTCGCCGACACTCAATTACTTCGCCCGAGCCTGCTCAGGTGCTGACTGCACCGACTTGAGCGCTCGTGAGTAACCTTTCTCGACCTCCTGTGCCTTACCTGGCGAGTGGAGTCCGCATGGTAAAAGCGAGCGCGGATGGCCATCCACAGTGCCACCTCTTCAGCTACAGCGCTGCGATCAGCGCGTGCGAGAAAGGGCAGAACTGGCAGCAGGCGTTGTCGCTGCTTCGTGGGATGTGGGATGCGAGGATGGAGCCCGGCATCACCTGTTCCTCGGTGTGGGGGTGGCGGCCAGCTTTGCGCCCTCCACTCCCGGCACTGTCGCCAGGGCCTCCCAGGAGGTCTCCAGTTGCCTCCGTTCTTTCTCCTTCCTCCTCTTTCTTCTCAGTTTCTTCTCTTCCTCTTCGTCTCCCTCCCCCCTCCCCCCCAGGAGGCAGCACAAGAAGAAGACTCAGCAGCGCTCAGACGTACCCCGGGGTGGTGTCCTGACGGCCCTGACGAGGCCCAGGCGTTTTCCACCGCAAAGCACCTCTGGGCGCGCAGGAGGCCATCTGGAGCGCTCCCGCACGCGTCGAGAGGCCCCCATGAGGTCCCAAGACGCTCCCAGGAGGGTGCCCTAATGTTCTTCGTGTTTATTGGACGTTCTTGTGCGTCCTGGGGAGGGTACCCTTGGATGTTCTGTGTGTTTGGGCCGACGGAGGGTCTTATGTTCTTGAAGGATTTTGTTACGGCCTAGGTCCGACTGTATTCTCGACGGCCCGAAAAATTGCACAGTAAATGTCTGGAATTCCACCCAGGTGGCCTCGAGAGGTTGTTCCGTGTCCCTCCTGCCTTCCAGGACCCTCTATGTTGGGTCCTCGTTTTGAAGAGACGGCGCCCCGCGTTCTCCTCCTCCCGCCTCCTTCCTTACCCTCCTCCCTCCTCCCATCCCTGCCTCTCCTCTCCGCGTGTCGTCATCACCATCATTATCGCATTCTTCATCGCGGTCACCATTGCCATCATCGGAGTCATCAACATCGCCATCGTCAGCGTCGTGCCTCTGTTCTTTGCAGGTTCATTTCGGCACACCCTTGACACGGTTCGTGGCTCCATAGGGAGCTCCACCGAAGGCCCCAGTGGCACCGTTTACATGCGTCCCCGCCACCCATTTCGGCACACCCCTCGCACGTTTCGTGGCCCCATAGGGAGCTCCACCGAAGGCCCCAGTGGCTCAGTTTACACGCGTCCCCACCACCCATTCCAGCACCCCCCTCACACAGTTCGAGGCCCCAGTGGTTCAGTTTACATGCGTCCCCACCACCCATTCCGGCACCCCCCTCACACGGTTCGTGGCCCCATAAGTAGCTCCACCGACGGTCCCAGTGGCAGTTTACATGCGTCCCCGCCGCCCATTTCGGCACACCCCTCGCACGTTTCGTGGCCCCATAGGGAGCTCCACCGAAGGCCCCAGTGGTACAGTTTATATGCGTCCCCACCATTCATTACGGCGCACCCCTTCCCCAAATGTTTCGTGGCCCCGTAACTAGGGAGCTTTACCGAAGGCCCTGCGGGACGTGTCCCGCACGCGCCCACTGGGACACGTGCGCAATTCTACACGCGCACCCTCTGTGACGTGCTTTCGGCACGCACCCACTGGGACACGTGTGCACGTGCGCGCACCCTCTGGGACGTGCCTCGCACCCACCCACTGGGACACGTACGTAATTCTACACGCGCGCCCTCTGGGACGTGCCTTCGGCACGCACCCGTTGTTATTCTGTTGCCCGTGAGCCGTGGCCCTGGAGCTCTCGACCTCTTCCCTGCGAGTTTTTTGTTCGGCCCGGGTCGTTTTCTGATGGGCCCAGGGACCGAAGACGTTCCCTTCACAAAATCACGGCGCGTCGGAGGTCTTGGAGCTCACTGGCCAGTGCGTCTTTGTCAGTGCGCTCGAGGGGTGGGGCGAGGGGGCGGCCTTCAAGAAGGCAGGGGACTGGCTTCGTAAGAGGCCTCCCGCCTTCTAAGAAGCCCTCTTAGAAGCATCCGAGCCTTTCTGAGAAGCCCTCCGCCTTCTCAGAAGGCCCCGCACTTCCGATTGCTTCCACAGCGTGGGCCCCGGGGTCCTGTTGCTGTTTTCGCAACCATCCTGTGGTGTTGGGTCCTCGTTTTGAAGAGACGGCGCCCCGCGTTCTCCTCCTCCCGCCTCCTTCCTTCCCCTCCTCCCTCCTCCCATCCCTCCTCCCTCCCATCATCATCATCATCATCATCATCATCATCATCATCATCATCATCATCATCATCATCATCATCATCATCATCATCATCATCATCATCATCATCATCATCATCATCATCATCATCATCATCATCATCATCATCATCATCATCATCATCATCATCATCATCATCATCATCATCCCCATGTCGGCACACCCCTCACACGCTTCGTGGCCCCATAGGGAGCTCCACCGAAGGCCCCAGTGGCAAAGTTCGCATGGCGGCCCCGCCCCATTTGGGCGCACCCGTCACACGCTTCGTGGCCCCATAGGGAGCTCCACCGAAGGCACCAGTGGCAAAGTTCGCATGGCGGCTGCCCCATTTCGGCGCACCCCTCAAACGTTTCGTGGCCCCATAAGGAACTCCACCAAAGGCACCAGCGGCAAAGTTCGCATGGCGACTCTGCCCCATGTCGGCGCACCCCTCACACGTTTCGTGGCCCCATAAGGAACTCCACCAAAGGCCCCAGTGGCAAAGTTCGCATGGCGGCCCTGCCAAATTTCGGCGCACCCCTCACACGCTTCGTGGCCCCATAAGGAACTCCACCAAAGGCCCCAGTGGCAAAGTTCGCATGGCGGCCCTGCCAAATTTCGGCGCACCCCTCACACGTTTCGTGGCCCCATAAGGAACTCCACCGAAGGCCCCAGTGGCAAAGTTCGCATGGCGGCTCTGCCCCATTTCGGCGCACCCCTCACACATTTCGTGGCCCCATAGGGAGCTCCATCGAAGGCCCCGGTGGCTAAGTCTGCATGGCGGCTCCATGGGGAGCTTCACCGAAGGCCCCAGTGGCTGCGTTCTCATGCGGTTCCCCCTCCATTTCGGCACACCCCTTCACACGTGTCGTGGCCCATAGGGAGCTCCACCGAAGGCCCCAGCGGCTGCGTTCTCATGCGGTTCCCCCTCCATTTCGGCACACCCCTGACACGCTTCGTGGCCCCTTAGGGGGATCCACATAAGGCCTCAGCGGCTGCGTTCGCATGCGGTTCCACCCCCATTGACTCACCTCTCACACGTTTCGTGGCCCCATAGGGAGCTTCACCGAAGGCCCCAGTGGCTGCGTTCGCATGCGGCTAGGGAGCTCCACCGAAAGAGATACTCACGCATATGGTTGGGTCTTTCGCCGGGATAATTTTGGGGGGCCTTCGACGAGCCAGTCTTCCTTTCCCTCCTCCTCCTTCTCCGCCTCCTCCTCCTCCTCCTCCTCCTTCTCCGCCTCCTCCTTCTCTTCTTCGTCTTCTTCCTCCTCCCCCTCCTCCTTCTCCTCTTCCTCCTCCTCCTCCTCCTCCTCCTCCCCCTCCTCCTCCTCCTCCTCCTCCTCCTCCTCCTCCTCCTCAACATCGGCCTGCAATGCCGCTCTGCTACGGTATCCTCGACGGTGCGACGCTATGCATTGTTTTCTTGGCGTTGCATGGTGACCCATCGCGTTGCAACTCCTTACGTTGCATAGCACAATAATGCTTCCAGCCAGAAGAATACCCTTCCGTTGCGTTTGGTCGTGCCGAGTTCATGTTCAATGGGTTTCCCTTTTCTAGCTTTTCGACAAACTATGGCCTTAGATCATGTGTGTGCGCTTCCGCGGGGTCAAAACTGCCACAAGAAGCCTCCAGCACGGCCCTAACGCGGCTAGAGAGGGCCCTTTGGAAGCATGGCTATGTAGGCAGGAGAGCTTCAAGGTAGCCCAAGCACATGTCTTGCACCAAAGAGGAGTAGCCAGCGTGTACCCCCAAAAGTGAGTTATTACACTCTGGAGGTGACGGCTATGCGGTGCAAGCGATGTGGTGCGAGCTACGTGGTGCAACTTAGGCGGTGTGAGCTATTGAGGTGAACGCTATGCGGTGCAAGCTATGTGGTGTCAGCCAGGTGGTGCAATACATGTCGCGGGGGCTGGAGGCCACAGGTATGCCGTGCAAGTTATGTGATATCAGCCATGTGGTGTACGCTATGTGAAAGCTTTGATATGTAATCTACGCGGTGTAAGCTATGGCGTGTAATCTACACGGCGTGAGCTATGGAGGCGATAGCTATGAGGTGTCAACTATTTGATGTCGGCTATGCGGTTTCAGCCATGTGGTGTAAGCTCAGCGCACGGGGTGCCCACTGGCGCCCACGGGCGGCCAAGTGGCGCGACCTCGGTGGATCCACCCAGCGCGCAGGGCGCCCACGAGCGACGAGGCTGCAACGCGGAAACTCCTCGGCCGACCCGTCCAATTGTTTTAGGGAGCTGAAGCAAGAACCCCTAAGTGCAAGAACTTTGGGGGGAAACAGGTCGCCCAAGACGTTTCCCAGAGAGCGCCAGGACGGCCCGAGCTGCGTTGCATCTGCCTTACTACCTCGTGAGAATGCGTGCCCTCCCGTGTGCTGTTTCCTCGGTGCCTTGCAGTGATGTGGCGCATTGCGACGTATTGCGGCGCGATGTGTTGCGTCATAGCGGAGAAGCTTGGTTTGTCAGATGCTTTGCTGCGCGATGCGACGCGGTGTCGGCCGTGCCACGGCGCAAACAATACAGTCCTTCCAGATGGTGTGTTCTGCCATGCGCACTGCACTCTTCGCCACTGCATGCGAGTAAGCGTGCGCGCGTCGATGATAGTCTATGGGTCAGCCCTAACGTACACCGCTGCGATCAGCGCGTGCGGGAAGGGTGGGCAGTGGCGGAAGGCTCTATCGCTGTTGAGAGAGATGTGGAATGTCAAGTTGGAGCCAAATGTAATTAGTTACACCGCTGGGATCACGGCGTGCGAGAATGGTTGGCAATGGCAGTGGGCCTTGTTGTTGCTCAGCGAGATGTGGAATGCGAAAGTGGATCCAGACGTCTTCAGCTACACCGCTGGGATAAGCGCGTGTGAGAAAGACGTGCATTGGCAATAGGCGTCGTCAAGTATCTGTGCGATGTGGAGGTGTGAAAGCGGGGCCGAACGTCCTCAGGTACAACCTTGGGACGACTTCGCCATCGACAGCGAATG